CTGGGTGGTCTCTCAGGATGTGCCCCACGGCTGCAACATACATCGGCCTGCACGGCAGCCCCTCTCTGCTCATTAGCAAAAATGCGCGGGTTGTGTCATGGGATTCTAAGGCTTGATGACATCCCCTTCGAGGCCTCTCGTCTCATGCCTGTGCATATCCTCGGCACATTGCAGTGGCTCGGACGCTTGACGGTGGGCCCGGACGACCTTCGCAGATCCTTTTGGAATGGCACGAATGCTCGTGTCTTCCAATCTTGGACTGGCGGGAAGTCCGTGCCCCAAGTGCTGGAAAATGTTCAGCGCCACTTGGAAGAGCATCGTTTGGCTTTAAAAGCACGGAAAGCCGACACGAAAGCTCTTGCTAAGCTGCAGCGGACTCTGACACCTGCCATGATCTCTTGGAATGCGTGCCAAGCAGTGACATGTTTGTCGACGCTTGGCTGATTCACTTCGGTGGCCCATGCCTGTCAAAATCACTGTGAAAGCAAAGCAACCGAGGAATTTTGCTTTCCAGAAGAGAAGCGGCTTGGCTGACATTTTTAAACTGCATGCATGTTCGGCTACGGAAAATAGCCCGCCCAGGTAAGTGGTTTGGAACCACCCGGCCCGTGCTGAACGACAAGCTGGCAGCTTTCTTGGAACGAAGGCCACTTGCCCTGGAACCCTAAACCGTCTGCCTGGCATTACTCTGTGCCCACTGGCCAGGTCTCGCAGCTCTGTCAAGTGAGCGGCAGGTCCGTAGCGGCACTCAGGCCCTCAGGTCCCCAGGTCCCCAGGTCCCAGGTTCAAGTTAAACTACTAACAAGCAAGAAGTAATTACAGTACAGGTTGCTGCTGGGGGGCCTTGGTGCGTACCCACACAGTGTGCTGCTGTGTCACCCGAAGTCGCAACAAAGTTGTTTCCTTTCCTGAAAAAAGAAGCTCTGGCAAGCCAGACTCATTCCGCGGAGATATCGAGTACATGGAAAGACTAAGACGAGAATCTTGCCAACTGCCTCTAATTCCATGAGAATGAACGTGCCTCGTCGGCAACGGCTGGGATGCCAGCACAGGCTGGAGCTTGTGGTTTAGGGTATGAGATTGCGCATTTGCTTTGGTTCCCCTACATCACGGCCCCATCCCTTAAAATTTTGCGCAAGGGTCGGGGGCTCTACCCAGAAACCCTAAACCCTGAAAGCCCTACACCCAAAGCCCTAGACCCTTAACTCTAAGCCCTAAAACCCTAAAGCCAAACCCCTCGACCCTAAACCTTAAACCCTAAGCCCTCAACCCTAAAGCCTTACACAGTGATCTCAGTGATGTGCGGATCCCGAGCCCTGCATCAAAGCCTACGCTAATCCCAAGTCGTAAATCCCATACAGACCTCCGCTGAAACCATAAATCCTAAATCCAAGTCCTAAACTGTCCTACATCCCACATACTCTTACATTAAGGGTCCCTTTAAGGCTTCCTTTAAGGCCTCCTTGCACGCTACTTTATGGGGGTCTGTTGATTATTCCGTGTTTCGTCGAGGCACGCTGATCGTTTTCGCACCCTCGGTCTTCTTGCTGGATGCGACTTGGTTGCTGTTAAGGAACTTACTTTAAGTTACCATAATGGGGACTAGTGAATAATAGTGTTGAGGGTTTTTCGTAAATAATAGGGTAGTGGGTTTCCTCATTATAGTAACTGAATGTGAGTTCCTTAACAGCAACCCAGGCAACGACCTTCAACCGGGAGAACTTGCCGCCACAAAGCGCTGACTCCTCAGCGGTGGTTGCCGAACTCAAAGCCCGGAAGCCCCCAAGTTCCTCCAAGTAGCGAGCAAAGAGGCCGAAATACAGGGTTTGGGGTTTAGGGGTTTAGGGGTTTAGGGTTGAGGGTTTTGGACAGATCTTTCTGGGCTTTACTTTCTTATTCAGTATGCCAGAAAACACTATGGAATGAACTTGCTAAGCTTCAGGATCTGGGCTCTTTTGACTCAGTATTTGAAAGTCCTGTCCCCTGCAACCTATTGCTGGCGGACCTTCCTTCCTGAGTCAGTAGAGCTTCCAAGCAGAGCAAAGTTACAGCTGCCTTCTTTGTAGCAGCCACCCAGACGGACCAAGCCTCCTTCATTGTCCGAATGCACCTTACGGTGTACTAGGCGGACTTATGGTATGTTATTTCAAGGTATTTGATTACAGGCTCCATGGCTCTACTTAGGACGTAGATAAGCCCATCCTGGGAGGGTCAGAGGAGACTGTGAGTGTCTAACGGTCTGCCTGAGCCCCAGAAAACTTACTTCCTTTGGACTCGTATAAGAATTTCATAGAAATGAACCCGGAAAAGGCATGTGGGTTCAGCTTTTCGGTTTCAAATACCAGTTCGCATCCAAGAGCTATAGAGAAAGTTTAGTGTTTTGGAGTTTAAAGGGCTTACAAAGCCAGGTCGCAACGGCAGACATGGACTCGGAGGACATCACGCTCAGTTCTGTCGCGACCCGAGTCTGATTGTGGTCCAAGGAGTTTCAGGGCCGTTTACGGCTTAGGGTTTGGCATTTGGGGCTTAAGGTTCAGGGCTTAATTGTTAAGGGATTCTGAATGATTTAGGGCTTATAGGGTCAGGCGGTCCATGCATGTTGCCATTAGCGGTGATGAGGTCCTGTGGGTTTCGGGTCCGAAGCCCATTTCATGATACGCTTGA